AACTTTTGATCATGTAATAAAACCAGGCCATAGGAGTTACTTGAGTATAATGCTACTACTCTTGAAAATAAGGGAAAGCCTTCTTACAGCTGTAACAGCAGATAATTGGTCAAACCTTGTGACTCAGTGAAATTACTTAAAAAATCCAAATGATTATTTCTGATGGAAAAAGGAAAAACTTTTAAATTTCATTTTGGATTTTAAACCAAAGAAAAACCTACCCTGAGAGTATCTCCAAAACTGAATGTAGAGACCAGCCAGCAATATCCTGGCAGTAAAGCTCCTAAACTCCAGACTTATCTGCCAGTTCCAAGCTGTTCTTTAAACAGAGTTCAATGATAGGTACCATGATCACTTTAAACATTTCAGAAAGCTGAAAGTGTTAGTTGTTATAAACACACATAAAATAATTCGTTGGTTATTTGCTAAGTTAACATTAAATTGCTAATTTGTTAATAAGTTATCAACTCAAGCACCTGGAAATCTTACAACAGAGGATACTTAAGTGACTCCGTAAAGCCTATGAAGAGAGTTCCAATGTACTGGTTTCCTGTCGGAAACGGCATACAAACTGACATGCTGTACGCATTGTGAGAGAATGCTGAGTAGGAAGGTGTAAATTATGGTTTTCAGTAATGTCAGTAGTGTGATAATTGAATAATTTCATATTTAAGGCACAGAATATCAATTATTTTTATTATATAAGCCACAAATTAAAACTTTATAAAATCCATCTTGTTTTGGCTAGTATCAAGTCACAGAAGAGAACTGGTGTGATTTCAGGAGTTTGGGGGAGTATATAATTCACGTGTGTATATTTGAAAGAGATTTTGTTTCTTAATAAGAACCATCAATTTCAAATAAGCTGAAGAAACACTGGTGGTTTTCTGGGGTTCGGGTCTGCAGTGTTGACCACAGTCGTCTTTGAGAGATAGTTTGTAGTCCTCGTAATGATGTGCTGGTGTTTATTAGAACAGTATAGTAATTGCTAGAATTCAGGTAATTAGCAGTGTTGGAAGTGGCAGTTTATTGAAAATCCACAAAATTCCATAAAATTTTATGGAAACCAGAAATGCATCAGTTTCAGTAATGAATAATGTATGATTTAAATGAAAAAAAGGGATTAATAATTACTGATGAAATTGAAAAATATTCCTGTTTTTTGATCCTGGCAATATCCATCCAGTGACTAGGAGCTACGGAAATTTTGGCCAACAACCAGTTAACTACTGGAGAGTAAATACAACTCACAAAATAAAGGAAACCAAAGACTTCATTTATTAGCGTACTGATTTCAGGTTAGGAGGTTAATTAATTTGTGATTTTGTTCCCCGTGATTTCTGAGAGGTAGTTATCATAGTTCACTGTTACTTTTAGAACGAGGCGCTGAGAAGTGAAGAAGGCCGCATTCCACATGTCGCCCCAGACGTCTGCATAGCATATAAGCTGCACCTGGAGTGCAGCAGACTAATCAACCTTGCGGACTGGTCGGAGGTAGGTCGGGGGAGCGAGCAACCGTGACGCCTTTCTCGGGCTGTTTTTATACTTTGGGTTCTTTGGAAGTCACCTCTTATTTTCTCAGTCACCTCTCTTTGGTTTGGAAAGCATTATAAATCACCTGGCAAGTTTCTCCAAAAAGGCACCTAACTGCTCAGCAGTTCCACCCAAGCCCCAGAACGCTGATCCCATGAGCCTCAACCAACCAATTCTGTTAATAGTGCTGTGTCCTTGCCAGGTCAAAATAAGTACATTTTAGTATGTTTAACAGAAGCTGAACAGTTGAGGTCAGTTCTGTTATCCCACAAGATAAAACTGTATTATTAACTAGCATTTCCCTTATTGGATAAAAGAAAATATTGGAATAACTGTACAACAGATTTAGCAATCAGAAAGAACAAGGAATACTTGGCAAGGCAAAGGACAACTGTTATTATTATTCTTTAATAATTATTCTTTCCCTCCTCAGAGTATTAAAAGTTAACTTTGTTAAAGGCCCTATTTGAAGCATGTCTTGTCACCCACCATTTAAAAATATGGTAATTGGTTGCTTCCAAGAAAAATAGGCATTTTTCCTGGGTGATGGAGGTTGGGAGTAGAGGATACAGGAGAGCCTCATGCTTTTCAACTTTTTTAGCTTCTCAATTTTTATTGTTTTTATCTGCACATTTCTTAGTTCTCTGAAATATAAGATTATTTGGGAACCATTCCACTTTCTTTTAATGTGTACTTATTTAAAGTGATCATCAATGTAGTTTTAAGACCCTGAAATTTGGTATAATTTTTTAAAATGTGTCAGCTACCAGCAGCAGCAGTGTTTGACCTGGCTTAAAAATACAGAGCTGTCAAGAGCAAAAAAATAAAAGATGTCTGACAACAGCAGAGATTTTTATCTTCTTCTGTCCTGTCTCTCAAAAGGCTTTTGCAACAGTTGTGACAGCTGCTGAAAAAACGGACGCAAATTCTGTAACCTCAGAAGAAAGGAATGAAATTATCCAGTATCCTTTTGAAATCAATTCTACAACGTCCAAGTAAGCCTACAGAATATAGTTTCTCTGAATCTACACTAGAGATAGAACCATAGCATCCCAGAATAGTTGTTCCTTAATACTTACTTCGAATTTAAAATGAGACAAATCTAAACTATTTGATCTAAAACTTATATAAAGGTCATTTTCCAAAGTTCACCAAAACTGTCCCAGAACGGTCATTATTGAATTCTCTATGTTTCTTAGGTTAATGACGTAGTTTGAAGTTGGCAGAGAAGCAATTTTCATACTCCTGAAAGATGAGAACTAGATAAGTGGTGAGCACTTTTCCATTTGTGTCTCATTGACAGTGAACTCTAATTATACTTAATGTTTTCCAGTAAGAGTGAGTTTAATTTAGTAGTATGCATTTGAACTGTACTTCAGCTCCCCACCTGAGGTTTTAACACTGAGATTTTAACCCCCTTTTTTGGTCAGAAATGTGTGGTGAATTTCCTTAGCTATAGCCTCCAGTGCTCGGTTTATTAGAGCGGTCTCTGAATTAGAACTTTTGGGATTTATAAAACCTACCAAACAGAAGACTGACCATGTGGCAAGGCTAACATGGGGAGGCTGCTAGATAGCAAATGATTGAAGCCAGAAAGACAACAGTTAGCTTAAGAGAAAAAGACCAGTCATATTTACACACAGCTCAAAGAAGATTGTCTGGCAAGAAGAGAAGTGTGGAATCCCTGTGTGATGTTTAAACAGAAAGGTAGACTGTTAACCCCAAACAGGAATGTATCGAAGCCCCTTTGGAGAACTTTGAAATTGAACAGGTAACACGCAACTAGAAACTTTCTCAGAATATCACTGTAATTCTCAGTCATGAAGAAATCATGAATAAATTGTTCTTGAACGTGAATAATATATAAATGTAATAAATTCCTTTATCTAGGAGGATCTGGGTTTGATCCCTGGGTCAGGAAGATCCCCTGGAGAAGGAAATGGCAACCCACTCCAGTATTCTTGCCTGGAGAATGCCATGAACGGAGGAGTCTGATGGACTATAGTCCACAGGGTCTGGACTATAGTCCAGACACGACTGGAGCGACTTCACTTTCATTTTCCAGGAGAATCAGTTGATCTGCAGTTGATGTAATAGTATTAATACTTGTTCTACCAGTTTCTTGCACTGGTTCTTCACTTGCTTAAATTATGTAATAGAAGATGAATATTCTAGAGGATCATTTCTCCTCCAACAGAGGTTCTAAAACTGCTTCTACTGCCCCATTTCCTTTAGTCTTACAACTTAAAAAGTCTCAAGTTTGGCTTTCTGCTTAAAGGCAGCAAATATTGTACTTCAGGTTGACCCATCATGGAGTCTTAGAGCCTCAAAAATCTTTACAAATCACATCAACCCTTAAGGCTCAGATGAAATGACATCTGAATCTCTTCCATAATAAGAACTCATATCAAGATAGTGAAGCAAAGAGACCTCAAGTTCATTATTTAATGTTCTGGTTCCAAGAGAATTCTGGGATGTGTCTTTGAGTATACTAACATACCAAAATTACCATGCAGATATGACTGGGAGGAAAAAAGTCCAAATTCAGTGAGGACTATTATAGTTGAAGACCTTAGAACTATGCACTTGTAGGTCTGTGTGTTCAGAGGACAAATTTAATATAAACAGACTTAATATATAACTTAAGCCTCATTAATTCTGGAGTATAAAGGAGGTATTATGTAAGTATAAAGGGCTCCTTAGCCCTGTGGCAACAAGGTGAGCCAAGATGACATTAATGGATAACGGCTCCCTTCCCCATTCCCGCTTCAAAAACGTAAGTGCTGGATGAAATGTACCCCCAGACAAATTGTCATAATGTTGTCAGGGTTAAAAAGAAAAGTAAATCCCAAGGTACCAGAAATAAAGAATCAGTTGCAAGCCAGAGCAGAAAGTGTCTAGCCCAACAAAGCCTTATGACAATTACCAGAGTAGCATTAGTCCAGATAGAGTAAATGTCTTATCTTCATCTAGAAGATGCCAGGATTTCTTACTCAGCAGAATTGAAACACATGTACATATGCACAAAGGGCCGTCAACTTGGAAATTAAGGAATTCATGATGCAAAGGAATGTATAAACACAAACACAAAAGGCTTTTGACACCTTGGAATCCATGTGTTAGAGGCAAAACTTCTAGGGGTCCCTGAAACGAGGACATGGAGCAGAGCCTTTGCCAGATGGACATGATCAAAGACTAGATTTCTGTTGTGACATTTTCCAGTGTATCTTCACAACAACTGGGTCACTATTTTTTCCCAGTATTTCCAGCCATTCCCCTTCAGTCAGATGTGCCCTCAATCATGTGTCATTTTTGACTATGGTTGGTAAAATCTAGGGAAAGAGGTGTGACTGACTTGTTCAGCTTATTGAGCATGTATCCTGAGCACTGCCGCAGCACTTGTGCTTCAGTGAGCACAGACCTCTGCCCTCACTGCATTCTGCCAGTACCAGAGAAGTTATACAATGTTAAAGGAAAAAACGAAAGGGAAGCAGATCCTGCTGAACAGGCCTGCCTGAGATGGCGTTTGAATGAAAAGATTTAGCCCCGATTTTACGGAAGCAGCGCATCTGAGGTCGAGAAGAGCGGTAACATAGGCCCTGCGGGCAGTGCGCCCGCCGCACTGGGGGAAGAGCAGAGGGGGCCAGCGCGGGACACGGTTGGCGAGAGGGGCGCGCAGAACTGGGTGGGCTGGCGGGGAGAGCAGGTGAGGTACGGCTGCAGACCACGCAAGGTCTTCACCTTCTACGGGCAGGAAGCCATCTGAGCCGTCCTTCAGAAAGACCTTTAAAGGGTGACTGGCTATGAGGACAGACGGGAACAGGCGAGGAGGCACAAATGAGCCAGACAGAGCAACTGGGAGGTCACTGAGATCCTCCGGGCGAGACACAGACGTCTCCTACAAGGGTGGTCGCAGAGATGGCTGAGGATTTAGACGGACATCGAGATTGGACGAAGTGAGTGAGGAATTCAGGACTCTGAAAACCTTCTGAATGGAGGTGCCATCAGCTGATCCTCACCAAGGTGAGTGTGAGCAGAGGCAGGGAGCCCCAGGCCAACTCTGGGCTTCTTTAAAGTTCAGAGGAAGCGTGGGCCGGTGGCCAGCAACGCAGACAGTCAGGCCAGTGTGGTGCTGTCTTGCCACCAACTGAACAAGTGCCTCAAATGTTGATTAGGTTTAGCCATGTGGGAGATGGTGGTGGCTAACGAGTGGTTGAAGAGTCAAGACAAAGCCTGGCAGGCCTCACCTGTCACATCACCTTGTGTGATAGAATGAGAGAGATCATAGCATCATACCAAAGTCTTAACATGAAACTAATAAATGCTTTAGACTTCCAGATTACAGACGTTTAAAGGGATAGAGTTTACTGACAGCGACAAACATTCAATAAGATGACAAGCTTAGTTGTTCCAGAAAGTCAGAATCTTAATTGAATTCTGCTTTAGGGAGAAAAGAAAATGGGATTCCCTGGTGGGTCAGAGGTAAAGCCTCTGCCTGCAATGTGGGAGACCTGGGTTTGATCCCTGGGTCAGGAAGATCCCCTGGAAAAGGAAATAGCAACCCGCTCCAGTACCCTTGCCTGGAAAGTTTCATGGGCTACAATCTGTGGGGTTGCAAAGAGTTGGATACGACTGAGCGACTTCACTTAGGGAGAAAAAAAGCTGCAAAAGACATTTTTAGGACAAATGGGAAAGCCTGAATATGGACTAGATGTTAGATTAGGAAAGCATTCCTTTAAGTAGGAGGTAAAAGAATCCGCCTGCTAGTGCAGGAGACCTGGGTTCCATCTGTGGGTCAGAAAAGTGACAGCCCACTCCAACAGTCTTGCTTGGGAAATCTCATGGACAGAAGGAGCCTGGTGGGCTACACGTTCTTAAACAATATACATACAAAGCAGAAACGGCAAAATAATTGTTCCTGTTAAGAGGATTGTTGGACTGTATTTTTAGCTTTTGATTTTTTTTGTAATAAAAACTGACCAAAACAGTGGGAGAAGAATAGAAGTTTAGAAAATTCTCCTGAGTTTTGCTTTGAAGATTATAGAACACAAAAATAGGTAATAACCTAGAGAGGGGTTATAGGATCAAAAGACTTGGTCTTCTGTTACGTTTTTTACGTTTGTGAGAAGTGCATATGGAAGGAAAACGGGTGCAGGAGAGAGGACTGTTGGCCCCATGATGCGCCCTGCTGGGGGAGGGTAGCAGCTGGAGCCCGTCTGTGAGGAGACAGGGCCGGCGCATCAGGTGCTTCAGAGCAGGACATTCACTTACACCAGCTACTGTGTGACTGGGAAGTAGGGGAGTAACCCAGAAAAGCAGATACAGTCATTTCCAACCTTGGATCAGAGCTGGGGAACGTGTCAGATTTCAAAGTGTTCACCTCCCCTCCGTCTTCTAAAGCAGCCTCTGCGGGTAGAACCTGCAAAGGGCGCCAGTTAACCTTGCGGATGCAATAAATGTCTCACTTGGCAACCATTTTCTTTAGGATGTAAGTTCTTGCCATAGGCCAAAGATAGCACTGATATTTTTAAACTTACTACATTTTTCCATATTGCCTGTGCCCGTTTTTCCTACAGAGAGAATTATATCCGGTGATTTACCCTAGTTACATCACAGTGACTCAGTACAGCACAATACCAGCACTGCCTTTACTGTGACTGTTGGACCTAAATTCTGTACTTTCTGGAAGCAATTTCAGAGCTGTTTGGGAACTCATAGTGCAGCCTGTATCTGTACTAATCACCATCTACAGGGTCCATCTAAATCTTGTTAACTGAATAAATCCAAGAAGTTTCCCACATTTTCCATTTTCTGAAATTACCTCACACACTAAATCAGTTAAAATCATGAAGCAGTCCATAAGACAGAATTTTGGGGTAAGGTGGATAAGCAGAAATTTGGCCGTGGGGAAATTTTGTTCTTGATCAAAGTTGAATCCAGAATTAAAATGTTTGAGGCCCCATTCAGACTGCCAGCACTGGTTTTCCTTATAGCATATCCTCTAAAACAAAGACCAGCTCTTTTATAAACTAAATCTGCATGAAAAGTCATATGTGGTTGTATAAAAAGAATGTTCATTTTGGAGTGAAGGAGAAAGCATACTTACATTCTCTCTATCCTCACTCCTCTGTATTTTTACTCACCCTTGCATTCTAAAACGCTGTCCCCCTAGACCGGCGGCTCCCAGCCGGGGACGTTTTCGTCCCCTGGCCTGACGTTTGGGTCTGGAGGCACAGTGTTTGGTTGTCAAGATTGGGGAGGGTGTTACGGGCACCCAGCGGCAGAGGCCAGAGATGCTGCTCAGCACCCTACATGCTGCCGTCGCCCCGACCGCCCGTCAGTCCGTTCAGACCAGGTCGCCACCGGCCTCCCTCACTAGGCCGCCCGCCCGCCTCCCTCACTCACTAGGCCGCCCGCCCGCCTCCCTCACTCACTAGGCCGCCCGCCCGCCTCCCTCCCTCACTAGGCCGCCCACCCGCCTCCCTCACTCACTAGGCCGCCCGCCTCACTCCCTCACTCACTAGGCCGCCCGCCTCACTCCCTCACTCACTAGGCCGCCCGCCTCACTCACTCACTAGGCCGCCCGCCCGCCTCCCTCCCTCACTAGGCCGCCCGCCCGCCTCCCTCACTCACTAGGCCGCCCGCCTCACTCCCTCACTCACTAGGCCGCCCGCCTCACTCCCTCACTAGGCCGCCCGCCTCACTCCCTCACTAGGCCGCCCGCCAGCCTCCCTCACTCACTAGGCCGCCCGCCCGCCTCCCTCCCTCACTAGGCCGCCCGCCCGCCTCCCTCCCTCACTAGGCCGCCCGCCCGCCTCCCTCCCTCACTAGGCCGCCCGCCCGCCTCCCTCCCTCACTAGGCCGCCCGCCCGCCTCCCTCCCTCACTAGGCCGCCCGCCCGCCTCCCTCCCTCACTAGGCCGCCCGCCCGCCTCCCTCACTCACTAGGCCGCCCGCCCACCCGCCTCCCTCACTCACTAGGCCGCCCGCCCGCCTCCCTCCCTCACTAGGCCGCCCGCCCGCCTCCCTCCCTCACTAGGCCGCCCGCCCGCCTCCCTCCCTCACTAGGCCGCCCGCCCGCCTCCCTCCCTCACTAGGCCGCCCGCCCGCCTCCCTCCCTCACTAGGCCGCCCGCCCGCCTCCCTCCCTCACTAGGCCGCCCGCCCGCCTCCCTCCCTCACTAGGCCGCCCGCCCGCCTCCCTCACTCACTAGGCCGCCCGCCCACCCGCCTCCCTCACTCACTAGGCCGCCCGCCCGCCTCCCTCACTCACTAGGCCGCCCGCCCGCCTCCCTCCCTCACTAGGCCGCCCGCCCGCCTCCCTCCCTCACTAGGCCGCCCGCCCGCCTCCCTCCCTCACTAGGCCGCCCGCCCGCCTCCCTCCCTCACTAGGCCGCCCGCCCGCCTCCCTCCCTCACTAGGCCGCCCGCCCGCCTCCCTCACTCACTAGGCCGCCCGCCCACCCGCCTCCCTCACTCACTAGGCCGCCCGCCCGCCTCCCTCACTCACTAGGCCGCCCGCCCACCCGCCTCCCTCACTCACTAGGCCGCCCGCCCACCCGCCTCCCTCACTCACTAGGCCGCCCGCCCGCCTCCCTCACTCACTAGGCCGCCCGCCCGCCTCCCTCCCTCACTAGGCCGCCCGCCCGCCTCCCTCCCTCACTAGGCCGCCCGCCCGCCTCCCTCCCTCACTAGGCCGCCCGCCCGCCTCCCTCCCTCACTAGGCCGCCCGCCCGCCTCCCTCACTCACTAGGCCGCCCGCCCGCCTCCCTCAAAGCCACCCCGGTGCTGCACCAGTGCTGCTGAAGCGCTTCATAGGCATAGGCGTTACCTGAGGGTCTTGCCAAGGCCCTACACCACTTTTTGGCCTTGTTTTAGACAAAGAATATAATTTTGGTGAAATACAATTACTAAAGTTAAAAAGGGAAAAAATCCTTTTTGTCTTCCATTAATTAGGTCAATTATAAACATATCTCAGTATATTTATGACTTGATTAGTAGAAATACGTTAATAGAATTTAGAAGAATTCACTGAAGCACTTTTTGGTCAATTCATTATAGGAAAGCTGTGTCTGGAAAGCATGTTTTGAATGGAAATTAGATGTATTGAATGATGCTTTCATATATTTTCCTTCAAAGTCTACAGTTGTTAAAACTAACCTTCTATCATGCAATGAGAAGAGAGAGAATTTGGAATCAGAACTCAGTTGATGAAAACACTGATTTTGAAATCTTATCAGAAAATTGATTCCTGGAAAATGCTTACATTTAAAACACTGGCTTTATTCAACTACTACCCATCTGTACATTAAAAACAAGCAGATTAGAAGTAAATGTTTTATTCTTCCAACTAAATTCCAGTACTACAAGGGCAGTAAAACAATGATACACTGGGTTGGGGGGGGGAACTGCAGCTATAAACATTCGTTAAAAAGACTGATAGAATAAATAAAAACTACCAAAAAAAACAAACCCAACAGGGAAATCATATAAACCCATTTGAAACCCAAAGAAGTCCTGGAACACAGAAATGCCCTCCTCCTTCACTAGTTCATTGGAAGCACTGTAGGCTATTTGCTTAATAATGTCCTGGGATTACATTCTAAATTATTAATAACTGGTTATAGCTTGGTTGTAGTGCACAATTAAAATCACACTAACTTCATCTGAAGTATCTTTCTACAGTTTTATTTACACAACCAGTGAAGGGCATGTTCTTAGAATACCAGCTTTAATCCTTTCCAAACATATTAATAGAAGCCAAATTGTAATGATACAGCAAATGAGGCCACTGGCATTAATACAGGTAGTAAAGGTCCACATCCGGGTGGTATTGACATCAAGGAAATCTCCAAATCCGGTTGCTGCCTAAGAGTGGTTGCCACTGACGAAAGCTTGAAATAACCTGTATTCACAGAGGGGTATTGGCATTGCTGCATGTCATAATTGGGACCTCTTGCAACAACTCAACAAGGAACAAGGCAGCCCATAAATGCAGAAAACATGATTCATGAAACATCTAAAGGGAGAGAAAAGGAAAATGAGTGCAAAGTTCAGGTCAAAATTTAAACACACGCCAAAGCTTCATCCCTAAATACTGACCTAGGTATTTAAGTAAGCAAAAGTAATAAGCCTAAATAAAATTTTACTGCCTATTTCCTCCAAACTTTTTCTCCTTGATATTGTTAAGTTCTCTTGTGTATGAAGATAATTATAATGAATTACAACAAACATCTCAATAAGATTGTCTTGTATTTGGTTCAAAGATGAAATACTTACAACTAGCAGGCTGTTCTCCATATCGTCGCATTATCTGATCATGTGTAAACTTCACAAATGCATCATATTGTTCTATAAATAAAGGTAAATGTCAATTGCATGATTTGTAAAAATGCCCTATTAATATATCAAGGCCAGAGAAACTCAGAAGTCCAATACATAAAGTGAAACAATTCTAAGTTGGCACTTAGACACACAACCTCAGTAATAATAGCTTATCAAATGAAAGAGCATGGAGCTTAGGAAACCCACATCAGCTCAAATCACATAACCTCATGTATAAGTTGGGTGGGGCTTATTTCTTTAAGATATTTTTCCTCTGAAAATTATTATAAGTGGTCTGTGAATGGTAACATACTACAATGAGAGGAAACAGGACAAAAAAGCATAGTAAAATATGTAATTAATCCAAATATCCACCTGCAACCTAATTTAGATGCCACAGAAAAAGATGTTATATAACTAACAAATGCTCTCACCTATATTAGCACTTTAACTCCCTAATCATGAAGTTTACAATATCAATATCCATTAAATCTGTGGCTTAAAAATCAAGGGGGAAAGTCTGATTATGTTAGCATACATATTTTATTTACTACACTCAAATTTATCACATTTTATGGAAAAAAATTTTCTGGACAATTAAAAGAATGCAGCAGATTGATACTCTAATAAAATTATGTATGTGGTGCCAGTTAAATTTCAAGTGTTCAGACTGACGCAAAATTATCATGAAAGATACAAAGTCAAAAACCTTTGCAAACAATGTGACTGATAAAGAATTAGTCTCCAAAATTTACAAGCAGCTTATAACAATAGCATCAAAACAGACAACCCACTCAAAATGAGCAGAAGACCTGAATAGACATTTCTCCAAAGAAGACATACAGATGAGCACTATGCACATGAAAAGATGTCAACATCGCTAGTTTTTACAGAAATGCAAATCAAAACTACATCACCTCACAGTGGTCAGAATGACTATTATCAAAAAATCCACAAACAAATGCTAGAAGGTGTGGAGAGAAGAGAACCCTCCTACACTGTTGGTGGAATGTAAATTGGTACAGCCACTATGGAGAACAGTTTGGAGGTTTCATAAAAGAGTAAAAATAGAGCTACCATATGACCCTGCAATCCCACTCACGGGCATGTATCTGGAGAAAAACGTGATCCGAAAGGATACACGCAGGCCAATGTTCATTGCAGCACCGTTTACAACAGACATGGAAGCCCCCTGGATGCCCACTGGCAGAGGCCTGGGTGCAGAAGGTGTGGTGTATGTATACAACACAGAGTATTGTGCAGCCATTAATAAGAGCGAAGCAGTGTCATCTGCAGCAACCTGGATGGACCTAGACAGTGTCATACTGAGTGAAGTCAGAGAGGGAGAAATTATCTATGACATGTTATATATATCTGGAATCTAACAATACCTGAAACTACCTCAAACACTGTTAATCAGCTAATACCCCAATACAAGATAAAAAGTTCAAAATCTGGATAAGTAAAATTAAAAAAAAGGTAGAAGCAGAACCTAGAAATATAAAAAACAACCAAGAGTTAAAAAAAAAAACCCATAAGCAAACTGTAGCCCGCCAGGCTTCTCTGTAAACAGAGAAAGCATAGGGTATTATCAAAAGAACTACCTAGTTTCCTAATATTGCTGCTCATCTACATGGCTAACAGACACTATTTCTTAAAGTCACTGAGGAGGGCCAGGGCCTAGCCAAGTTCATTTCCTTTCTTGAACTGAAACTCTCTGGTTCTTAGAGAATACTGCTACCAGTGTATAGAAGGGGTAATTTAATCGATGTGTAAAATGTATGTAAGAAAGAATTTCTTTGGATGAGTTTCTGGAAGGACTCTAAAACATCTCGTACCTGCAAGTTTTGTGTTCAATATTTCTTCATATTCTTCTCGAACTTTCTCTTCACGTTCTTTCAATAAACGTTCACAGATCATCCCAACCTGCCGTAGAGTGAATAAGGGCTGTTCTTTTTTTAATGGTGAGGATGTTCCCGATGGAGTCCCTATGTACAACGTGAACAAAAACCTCATCAGATTTAGAGCCATCATAGAAAAGCATCATCTAACTGAGGTGGTTTCATGTGAGTATTTTCAGTGCTCATATAAAAGCATTTCCCATCAGTCTTTAGCACAGTATTTCCCCAGTCTTAAATCAGGTTTAATCCTATTAGCTTATAACTTTGGAAAGACACAGCAAGATGTATGCCATCAAATATAAGGGGGTAAAGTGTGAAGGTGAGTTGAGAGAATAACAAAATACAAACAAAATAAATGTTTTAAATTATTAGCTAGGAGAGACTTTGTAAAAATGAATACTGAGAATATATTCCTAATACTCAACATTAAATTTTACAGTTCAGCATCCTTAAAGACTATTAATGTAGCAGCCACTTAGATAGTGATAGATTTTTCAGAATGCATTCCTCTTAAAATATTTACTTAGGGTACTTTTATTTTCCAAAAATATCATTCCTCTTTTCTTGAAGAACATCTGAAATTAATCTTTTTTAGAACTCAGAGTTATGACAGTCACCCATGATACATTGCTGCAGTATTCTATAAACACAAATACACAGATGTGCTATCAATTGTTTGTCCTGTTTATCTGCCCCAATTCCTCTTTATACTTGCTCTTTATTTACTTGATGGCTGGGACCAGTTAACTAATAAGTATGTTTGTCCTGTGTCCAGCATCAGCTGTTAACAGAATACCAGAATTCTTGTGTACTGATACACAAGAATAAAGCATACCAGCTTTAGTCCACAGCTACCAAACTAAGGCTTTCTTTACTTTCAAAATCTCAGCTTTGCTGAGGCTGCCAGTTAATTGATTTTATAAGAAGTAAACTGACAAAATAGAGGAGCTTGCTTTCCCACTGATACAATCCTGTCTCTAACCTCACTTCCCCTTACCAAACTTCACCAACTTATCTCCTTCACTTGCGAGTCCCTTGGACAGCAAAGGAGATCAAACCAGTCAATCCTAAAGGAAATCAGTCATGAATATTCACTGGAAAAGATTGCTGCTGAATCTGGAACTCCAACACTTTGGCCACCTGATGCGAAGAACTGACTCACTGGAAAAGACCGTGGGTAGAAGGGGATGACAGAGGATAAGATGGCTGGATGGCATCACCGACTCGATGGACATGAGTTTGAGCAAGCTCCAGGAGTTGGTGATGGACAGGGAAGCCTGGCGTGCTACAATCCATGGGATTGCAAAGAGTTGGACTGAGCAACTGAACTGACTGATCCCCTTCACTTCAAATACCCCTCAGTTTTACATCTTAATTTTAAGAAGTGTATTTGCAAACTATCCTCGCCAATAAAAAGTAGGTAAAAAAAGATGTAGGATCAAAATAATCAACCTTTAGGCATTATCCTAAAAGACAAGTGTGTGTGAGGGTGTATGTTCAGGGACATTTTTGTAAATACGGTATATAGGAGAAATTTCAAGTCTATCATTATTAAATAATTATGGGAAATCCGTAAAATGCAGTATTTAGTCACGGCAAGGTACATCTATACCTGACAGAGAAGCATATGGCTGTATTTCTTTTTTTTCTCTTTAATAGATGCTATGAATCATGGCATTTATGGAGAAGTCCACTTAGGGGATGTTACCTACAGATAGCTGACTGAGTCATGGGAATCCAAGTGGCCATTACCTTTTTTGTACCATATTTTTAAGAGATCATGAGTTGCCTATATGAATGTTTTTTCAAAAATCAAGGAGAAACAGAAGCTTTATGACTAAAGGCAATTTGTTTTCCTTTTCCCCATAGTAAGTAGCACTTCCTTTCATTTATCAATTCTCTTATTACCTGGTGAAGCTGGCCCACTGAGGAGAAATGCAGGTGGCTGGGCATCGGAAGCACAACATGGGTCTGTCTGCTGGAAACTAGTTTCTAAATGTCTTCTCTTCTGCATGCGCTTATACTCTTGCTTTATGTTGTACAGAATTTGTTCTAAAAGAAAAAAAGCCAAAATTTGGCAAGATAAACACTTTCAAGTTAAAGAATAGGTTGGGTTCTACTGAAAACATTCTCTTCAAATATCTAGAAAACTTGTGTTTTGCAAGGAATTCATTTCAGCATAATGGGGACACTCATTCAGAAGTAGCACATACACACCACCTGGAATCCAGCTGTTCCAAAATATCATTCTTTCTGAGCACTCAGTTTAAAAAGAAAAAGAGTAAGCTTTCCATTCAATGGTAAAGATAAGGGAGTCTAAACTGAAACATGTATTTCACTCAGATTCTAAGAGTACCAGACTCAAAGGTCATTTATTCACCACACAGAGAACTATTAAACAGGCTTTTCCAAGACCATAAATAATCAGAAGCAGGAAGAAGTATGTAAAATACAGGTACACAAGAGTGAGAGGTGACAGCAGTAGGTCAGCAAGATGACAGAGTTGATGTGATACATTAAGCAGCTATGGCCATAATTATTAAGCTCAACAGAACTGATGAATATCACAACCTTAGCAGCAAAGTTCTGTCCTATATCTCTGGGGTAAAAACCCATATAAAGTGATTGGTACATCACAGATACGCATTAAAAACCACTACACTGCAGTGCCATCCTCTTGAACCACAACCATCAAATAAGAAGCATATCCTTTAGGCCAGTGTGATAAGTTTTAGAAGACTTCTAATTCAAAATAGTGACAGTTAGCCAGCCTCTTCAGAAAATCCCTCCCTGAGAGTCCCACTCCCCTCCAAACAGATTTTCTTACCACCACCACAGTTCTTAAATTCATAGGATATCCATGGGAAACTACATCCCAGGAAGCTTGTTAATCCCAATCCAAAGCAAAAGTAAACAAAAGTAATAGGCAATAAAATGTTTTGTAAATATAATGGAGTGTATTTCCACACCATTCTAAAATGATGCAATTTAAAAATGAACTGAAATGCAACTGAAGGCTAAAGATTTATATAAAATGAAGACAATCCTTTTTGAAAAATTTAATACTAAAAGTTTTTGTTAGGTATACACTTAAATTTCACATCTCTTTTCTCAGTTTATTTCCCCAGTAAGAACTTTTAAAGCTTTTGCAAGATAGACTGTGAGGGGTCCCATCAATCAGTCCCTTAAGCATTTAGATTCTGCCAGTTTCATTACTATAACTAGAAAGCAATTAAAAAATAAAGTCTTGCAAATAAAATAAAAAATAATCTTGCAAAAGACATCTAGTGAAGATTACATTTATGTAAAATTTTGTGCATAAACAAATCTGTTTTAAACATACATGAATACAAAAATCACACACTGGAATGACTAACCTCAGGATGGTTGTTTGAATGTATTGAACATTTCTCAAAATGTTTTAACATTTGTTTATATTAAACACGGTCATTTTCAGTCCTTTTCCCTTTATGTGAAATTGTAACATTTATTTTTGTTTTTTTAAATTATTTTTTCCATTTATTTTTATTAGTTGGAGGCTAATTACTTTACAATATTGTAGTGGTTTTTGCCATTCATTGACATGACTCAGCCATGGATCCACATGTGTTCTCCATCCTGATCCCCCCCTCCCACCTCCCTCTCTACCGGATCCCTCTGAGTCTTCCCAGTGCACCAGCCCCGAGCACTTGTCTCATGCATCCCACCTGGGCTGGTGATCTGTTTCACCCTTGATAATATACATGTTTCGATGCTGTTCTCTCAGATCATCCCACCCTCTCCTTCTCCCACAGAGCCCAAAAATCTGTTCTGTACATCTGTGTCTCTTTTTCTGTTTTGTGAAATTGTAATTTAAAACAAAGTTACCAATGTGAAATAAAACAGCTGTCTACTGAACAGCTAAGCACCATGAGAGAAGCAGGCTTCCTAAGTCACAGAGGGTCCAAGAAAACCAGCGCAACATCCTGTACCAACCAGGCCAGGCACACGCATCCTTTCTAAAAAAATAAAATAACTCTTTCAGTAGCAAAATTCTTTAAGAGGTTTCTAAACTAATGATGTTTTGATCTCATAGCAAGCTTCACTCATTTATCATTTTATTTTCAGTTACCGTCATGCTGATCAAAAGTGCCATTCAAAGCATTCAAAGTTTACTCACAAAGACTTAAATATAATAGCACAATATAATTTGGCCTTAACTTCTTTTGTGTGACTTATTCTTTGATCAGTGTGGTGACACAACTGTTCTCAAGATTACTTATTTTTCCTTTTGCTTCACAAAAAAAATCACCCAAAGCACAACCAAAATGTACCGAAAGAAGAGCTGTAACAACTGGTCCATTTGGAAGTCTTGAACAAGTTCCAGCCCAAGAAGAAAGATATGACATGGTAAAACTTTTAAAAATTTAGCTTTATGCACCTCCATACACCTAATATTTGAGAGAGCATTAAGGAACGGTAAGGTGTGATTTACAGATGAATTCACCATTTAGACGTACAATCTGATGAGTTCTGACAAGTGCGTGTAGTTCTGGAACCAGCACAACCACAGTAAAAGAACTTTATCAGCCCAACTGCTCTCTCATTCACCACCTTTACCGCCGCCACTTTCTCTGCTGTCAGTTTTGTTTTCTGAAACTGCCATCTTTATGATGTAGACTCTTGTCTTATGAGTAGATTTTTGTCTTCTTTCACCCAGCAAAATGGTTTTGAGATTCATACATGATGTTAAATCAACCAGCAACCCCTTTTTGTTAATTAGTATTCCACTGTGTATAAATGGTATACATCAACCTTATCCATTCTTCTGGTGGACATCTGGACTGTTTCCAACTGGGGGCTATTATGAATACTCAAGTACAAGCCCATAGGTGGACAAATTTTTATTTCTCTTAAGTAAATACCTAGGCGTGGAACTGGATGGACTGATTATATGGCTAAGAAACTGCCAAACCATTTTCCAGAGTGGCTGAATGTTTTGCATTCCAACCAGTAATGTGAGTTCCAGGTGCTCCACATCTTTGTCAACACTTGTCAGAGCTAAAGAATTCTGAATGCTGCAGCACTGCTTTTTATACTTCTTACGGTAGAACTATGTCATCTAAGCCTCACGGTGCTCTTAAGATGTTCTAATACTGGTAACATGTGATCAACAATGTTAGTGAATGGTCCAATTTCAGTTCAGTCACTCAGTCGTGTCTGACTCTTTGCGACCCCATGGACTGCAGCACCCAGTCTTCCCTGTCCATCACCAATTCCCAGAGCTTATTCAAACTCATGTCCATTGAGTTGGTGATGCCATCCAACCATCTCATCCTTTGTCGTCCCCTTCTCCTCCCGCCTTCAATCACTCCCAGCATCAGGGTCTTTTCAAATGAGTCAGTACTTTGCACCAGGTGGCCAAAGTATTGGAGCTTCAGCTTCAGCATCAGTCCTTCCAATGAAAATTCAGGACTAGCTTCCTTCAGGACGGACTGGTTGGATTTCCTTCCTGTCCAAGGGACTCTCAAGAGTCTTCTCCAACACCTCAGTTCAAAAGCATCAATTCTTTGGCACTCAGCTCTCTTTATAGTCCAACTCTCACATCCATACATGACTACTGGAAAAACCAAAGCTTTGACTAGACGGACCTTTGTTGGCAAAGTAATGTCTCTTTTTAATATGCTGTCTACGTTGGTCTTTTTTCCCAAGGAGCAAGCGTCTTTTTAATTTCATGGCTGCAGTCACCATCTGCAGTGATTTTGGAGCCCAATATAAAGTCTGTCACTGTTTCCCCATCTATTTTCCATGAAGTGATGGGACCAGATGCCATGATCTTACTTTTCTGAATGTTGACCTTTAAGCCAACTTCTTCACTCTCCTCTTTCACTTTCATCAAGAGGCTTTTTAGTTCCTCTTCACTCTCTGTCGTAAGGGTGGTGTCATCTGCGTATGAGGTTATTGATATTTCTCCCAGCAATCTTGATTCCAGCTTGTGCTTCATCCAGCCCAGTGTTTCTCATGATGTACTCTACATATAAGTTGAATAAGCAGGGTGACAATATACAACTTTGACGTACTCCTTTCCCAATTTGTAACCAGTGTTGTTCCATGTCCAGTTCTAACTGTTGCTTCCTGACCGGATTTCTCAGGAGGCAGGTCAGGCAGTCTGGTATTCCCATCTCCTTCAGAATTTTCCACAGTTTGTTGTGATCCACACAATCAAAGGCTTTGGCATAGTCAATAAAGCAGAAGTAGGCATTTTTCCTAAATAACCCTGAATATTCATTGGAAGGACTGACGCTGAAGCTGAAGTTCCAATATTTTGGCCACCTGATGCGAAGAGCTGATTCACTGGAAAAGACCCTGATGCTAGGAAAGATTGAGGTCTGAAGAAGAGGGTGACAGAGGCTGAGATTGTTAGATGGAATCACCTTAAAGCATATGAGTTTGAGCAAACTCTGGGAGATGGTGAAGGACAGGGAAACCTGGTGTGCTGCACTCCATGGAGTTACAAAGAGTCTGACAGGACTGAGTGGCTGAACAACAACAAAGTAACAAACAACTAACTATTAATACAAGCCTCAAGTTCAATTTATATAGGCTCAGAGGTCTAGGCAGTTTTGAAGCCGATAACCAAGAAATCTCCCAAGATTCAGTATTCCAGAATTCACAAGTTGAATTTACATATCTGGTCAACTTAAGTTGCTTCCACACCAGCAGGATAAAGGCCTTACATGCATCAACAAAGTACCTATATTCACTTAATCTTAAACTAAAATCTAGCCATCTCTTATGGAACTAAAATGACATTCTATTCCAAGTACATGTAACATCTGACACTGTGTTGCCAATAAATTTACTAGTCCATTAAAGAAAGTCAAGTGAAGCTTCACTAACATCATCAGTTGCACATTCCAGTTTTAATCATGCAGACTTCATATTTCGTTCATGAAGCATACATTAAATTTGCAGCAAGCCACAGAGCAAAATGTATTTTCACGACAATCTACACTCAAATGGTTGTGGTATATCCCTTTTCAAAATCCTTAAAACTACATATACCTAACTCT